AAAAAAAAAAAAAATAAAAAAATAAAGGAAAAACAAATCATAATGTCCAACCAAAAGAAAAAATTACATAATTGCGCAACGACATTTGGACTTTCGAACGTAATCATCGTCATCCAAATTGCCACCGTCGCTCTTCTTTTGTTTCTTCCTGCCTGTCTTTTTCTTTCCACTTGTGACGGTGGGAACAGAATCTACTTCTGTAGAGATAGTTTTATATTCAATTTCTTGCATAACAGGTATCTGAACAGACGTCTGAACAGGTATTTGAACAGGTGTCTGGACAGGTATCTGAACGGGTATCTGTACAGGTGAGGGCTATAAAAATATAAACAATTTTTTTTTTTAGTAAAAATATAAATTAAATTAAGCTAAAATCAATTGATGATATTAATTACCTCTTCTTCAACTTTTTCTTGATATATTTGATCATTAATTTCAACTTGAACGGTCGGAACTATGGATGGTTCTGACAAAACCAAAGGCTATGAAATTATGATTGTTAGTTATTTTACCAAAACTATTAATAACAAGATACAAAAATGAAATAAAAGTACCATTGAAGGAGGGGGTTCAATAAATAGATCTATATCGTCATCTTCCCGAACACTAATTATGTATTCCTCCCGTCGGGACCTTCCCCGTTTACTTCTAATTTGATTATCATGGGGAGCATGATGATCAAAAGAGTTCTCAAACTGTGAGTTCGTAGGACTTGGAACATCTTCATGAGACTGAGTCTGTTGAGGAGGTTGTTTGCGAGGAGCGATGTAATGTGTTTTGCTTGCATTACGTGAATGCCCTGAAGATGAATTTTTTCTTTGACGACGATGTTGTGAATCTGGACCTGATGACTGTCTCTTGTGTGATTTAATTTGAGGACCATCAAATAGGTTGACAACTTGATCCGTTATATCCATATAACCATTTTCTGACGTTGGAGTTAAATCTTCTGGTTCATCACTATAACCAAGTAATGCATCATGATTTACGTAAGGTAATTGTCCGTTCATTTTGAGTTTCTTCGCGATAGTAGGTATGACAACATCATCATAAGAAATAAATTTCTTTTGATGAATTGAATGATTTGATGATGAATGATTTAATGGTAAATGATTTGTAGGTGAATGATTTGTTGGTGAATGATTTGTTGGTGAATGACTTGATGATGAATGATTTATTGGTGAACGACCTGTTGGTGATTCAGATCCTACTTCAACGTCAGTTATAAGGGCAGTATTAATAATTGGTCTCGATGGTGATAATCGAATATTACGAGGAGGTTCAATCTTTGAATTCACAAGAGGATAAGATTCTAATAATTCCTTTGATTCATTGAATTTATTTGAACCCTGTGATGATAGTGAACCTTGAGATATCTTTTGAGCAATTGTTGGCCTTTCCCTTGAAGAAATTGATAATCTTGGAATTCGAGATCTAGTAGTAGGTGAAGGTGATTGTTTTGATTTTTTAATTTCTTTTGATTTATTTGAATCTAAAGGTTGTTCAGAAGTAACAACTTGTCCTGATACTGAATAAGAACGACGACCACGGGGTTGTTGTAATTTTTTTGGTGGTTGGTATGCATTCATTTCAATAGATCTCTTGGTAGATAACATCGATTGAGATTTTTGAGGAGAATGTGAACCTCTTCGTTTCTTAGAAGATTGGGATATTTTAGAAGGACGAGAAACCCTTGAAGAAGAGGATTTATAATCATCAATAAATTCTGTTGAAGTTGAATCAGATGAAGAAGAAGGAGGAGGAGTTATAAGAGATTGATCATTTTCTGAAGGTTTTTGTGAAATGGTTGGAGTAATTTGAGGTGAACGAGGAGGAGTAGCAGGAGGAGTAGCAATACCATCTTTTTGTAAAGATTTATTATCATCAATTGTATTTGTAGACATAATTAATTTATTCTTAGAAGAAGGAGGAGGGATAGTTTTTGACGGAATTTTCTTAATATTATTAGAAGAGACCATATCGGCCTTTCCATTTAAGTCCATAATTTGATGGTTAGGTATTACTTTACTCTTTTCCTTTTCACTAGAAATTTCATCAAATTTTGATCTCTGTTTTTTATTATTAGGGTTCCGTATTATTAAATCATCATCTAATGTATTCTTTCTTTCCGTAGAATTTGAATTTATGAACATATCATTACCAAGTGAATTTGATCTTTCATTCTTACCAATACCATTTACACGTTGTTGTTTATCAGCTTCAGGACCTACAGCATTTGAAGATTTTACTTTAAGAACTTGATCAGAATTTGTAGAGATTCCTTTTTTTAAAGGACTTTCACTATGATGTCTTTGTTTTTGTTTAAGAGATGAACCATTATTATTATTATTATTAATATTATTGATGGTACTAAATTGTTCTATGCTACCAGAACTTCTTGGGATCTTGTCCCGTTTTTTAAATGGGTCCGGTACACTTTGTGCACTTTGGTCAGGTTGTATTTCAACAACCTCTAGTATCTAATTAAATTTGAGAATTATACGAGTTTTTATAAGTTTTGTTTTAAAAGTCAATAAAAAATATATTTTTTTTAAAAAAAAATAAAATAACTTGTTTTCATGGGCAAAACACATAAAACAAGTACAAGTGTGTATACTCACCGAATCTGTTGTACTGAAACGAATTTCAAAAGCAGCAGGTACTTGTTGTGGTTGTCTTAGAGACATTTTATTGGAATGTTCATTAAAGAAAAAATTGCCCGTTTAAACCTTTGAAGGCTTAGAAGTGATAACACTTCAAGGGGAAATAAAAGTTTCTTGAAATCGTTAACTATTTCTTGAAGACAGAAAAATTTTTGTTATAGCTGCAAGAGGATGAAAGGAGTTCCTTCTTTTATTTTTTTTCGTGTTTGTCGTTTATTTCGAGTTCTTTTTTGTTGTTCTAGTTCCACTTCAAAATTTTGGTTCTACTCTCGTTTAAAAAAAAAAAAAAAGAAATATTCGCCTCGGGTTTTGTTATTGAGTTCGTCGGAAGAAAAGTGAGAGGTTCGTTATTCGTGAAAGTATGTATAATGTATTTTCGAGATAAATTTTTTTTTTTTTTATAAACAAAAAAAAAAAAAAA